ACACACACACACACACACACATTATGAATCAGGTCATGTGTGTGTGTCGAAGCAGCGCTGCAAAACACTCTACATCAGCTGTCAGTGTCAGAATTCATTCTCATCATTTCTGTTTCTCCTCTAACTACATAACATTCTGTTGGAAACTGGGACATATGAGGGAAATTTAAAATACTGATTTCTATACTTCATGAAAAAACTATGGAAATTAATTCTAGTTATGACAAGTTAGCAGAAATTGCGAGCACCCCCCCAAATGTAATAATTTTCATTTTTAATAATTAAAAATAATGTAATTATTTTATTTATATAAATTCATTTTAAATGTTATTTTAATGAAATATTATTCTAAATAGAATTTATATAATTTTAATGAGGTATTTTAGGTATTTAGATATATTATCATACATATTAAATACATAAAATTTATATTATTCTTATACATTTATTTATAAGTTAAATACAGAATAAAATAAATTTACATATCATATATACAGATATATTTATAATATTTATTTAAATAAATATTAAATTAAATTGCCACTAGTTTCTGTACATAAACTAGTAGCAGAATAGGCCTTCAAATATTGTCCTCAGAGTCAGAATGGTTGAGAAGTGCTGATCTAAATTCTTGATTTCCATGGACAAAATTCTCATTAGTTTAATTGTTGTGATCATCAGAATCACGCATGACGCACCTGTGTGGCACAGATCACGGGTTTTCCTGCAGAATTACAGCGTCCGATCATCATCTTCTGAGCGATGAAGACTTTTTCCGCCAGGATCTCGATGCCCAGGTCACCACGAGCCACCATGATGCCATCGCTCTCCTTCAGGATCTCCTCGAAACTACAGTGAGGAATGATGAGATGTGAGGAGACATGGAGAGCATGTGACAGCTTTTGGAAGTGTGTGGAAGGGCGTTAAAGCATATTAAAGCATGTGGAAGCATGTTGAAGCATCTTGAAGTAGACAGACAGACAGACAGAGAGACAGACAGACGAATGGACAGACAGACAGACAGAGAGAAAGACAAATGGACAGACAGAGAGATAGAGACAGACAGGTGGATGGACAGAGATAAAGATAGACACAGACGAATGGACAGACAGAGAGACAGAGACAGACAGAAAGATGAATGGACAGACAAATGGATGGACAGAGAGAGATAAAGACAGACACACAGACGGACGGACAGACAGAGAGAGAGACAGATGGACAGACAAACAGACGGACAGAGAGACAGACAGACAGACGAATGGACAGACAGACAGACAGACAGATGAATGGACAGACAGAGAGATAGAGACACACAGACGAATGGACAGACAGAGAGACAGAGACCGACAGAAAGACGAATGAACAA